CTCTCTCTTTCTTTCTTATTAAGACATTTTTTTCATTCATTTTACAAACCAAAGATCTCCCTTTTTCCTCTTCTCACCCCCCCAGCTCCCCCCATAAACACCTCCTACTTCCCCTCCTACAAGAAGGCAAGGCCTCCCATGGGGAGGCACATCCAGTAGAGGCAAGGCACAGTCCTGTAGTCCCAGATACTGGGGAGGCTGAGACAGGAGGATCACTGGAGTCCAGGAGTTCTGGGCTGTAGTGTACTATGTCGATTATGTGTCCACACTAAGTTCGGCATCAATATGGTGACCTCCTGGGAGCAGGGGAACACCAGGTTGCCTAACTAGGGGTGAACTGGCCCAGGTCAGAAACAGAGCAGGACAAATAAATTTTTATAACTTAATTTAATTATTCTTTTTGAATGTTGGCCTTCAAATTTTACTTTTTAACATATAATGCGTTCTGTTATTTTTGTTTTGTGTTTTGGCTTGTAGAGTCAGTGATCCACTGACTCTACTTCCTGAGTGGTGGTATTAAAGGCATGTGCCACCATTGCCTAGCTGTAAAATGAGTTCTAACAGTAATACAGCTAAATGTCCTTTCAATTGGAGAGTAGTCTTTCAAATAAAAAAATGTTTATCCTTATACAGGTCTCTTCTTGTTCTATTATTTTGTTTATTACTCTTTTTTATGATCTCCAAATTTAAAAGTTATCTTCAGCAAGAAGATTATACTTGTAGTAATGCTAAGTATTCCTCATTCACAATGATCAGGAACACAAGTGTTTCTGATTTTAGAATTTTGTTTGACTTTGGTGGAATATTTGTCTGCAAAGCAAAAATCTTGAGTGCTGTAAAATGTGAACTGCTCGAGGCATTTTGTTGATACTATTTTTAACTGACTTTGGTATTGTTGAATGACTTTAAATCTGTATCTGTGTTTACATGCATATGTGGGAGCAATATCATTTTCTTCAACATTAAATTTTAATGACTATTGTTTTTCAATGTAGCTGATGTTAGCAGTACTGTTACTGAAAAGAAGAAAAGAATGGAGTCGTCTATTGAAGGTGTTGTTAAAGACTGTAACAAGAATATCAAACAACATTTGAAATTTCATGAAGATGAACTGTAAGACTTTTCATTTCTTTCGAGCCACATTTGTATGATTCTGTATTATGCACTGGTGCTAAGTACTCCATTATGTGGAGTATATTGAAAAATTTTGGCTTTCTTTTTCTCCAAGCCATCATAATAACTTTCTGGATTGAGATAAGTTTCTGGGAAGCCTGTGAAGATCATTTTTTTCTCCTTTTAAATGACATTTGAAAGTTATTTTTAAAAACTCATTTCTGTTCATTCTGGAAGACAGTAAAAGATAGATGTCATAGTAACTTCATTTTTTTAATTGATGTGCTTAACAAGTTAGAAAAAAGTCAATTTAATATTGTAAATAATTTATGTATTTTAAGAGATTTAATTTTTCCCTTGTAGTCTTAGCTGTGCCAAAACTAATTTAAAAACTTAAATATTTTTTTCTAAAGTTCATACATGTGATCATACATATGATGTCATATATATAAACAGATATAGATAGATCACATGTCATTATTTAATAAGACAGGCATGTGAGAATACTTTTTTTCTTTTTTTTCCTTTTATTTTATTTTACAATACCATTCAGTTCTACATAACAGCCACGGATTCTCTTGTTCTCCCCCCTTCTGCCCCCCTCCCCTTCCCCTCAGCCCACCCCCTATTCCTACCTCCTCCAGGGCAAAGCCTCCCCC